AGCTCTTCCTTTGTGCTTAGTACTGTGCAGTCACCTCCCAGCAGTATTTCAGTTGCTTCCTGTAGCAGCCCTGATGAGATGGGACTCATTGGTCCCATTTCACTAGGGGAGCAGGAATCGGGGTCACAAGAGACATGCAGCTTACTTGCCAGTAGTCACTTATAAGTGAAGGTAGTAGGGCCAAACCTCAAAGCCAAACAACTAAAGAGAGGTGGTTTTCATTCTTCCTTAAAGTGTGCCTGTGTGTGCGCGTGCGCATATGTGCCTGTGCCCACATTGATGGAGATTTGGAAGAGACACAGCAGTCATGGTTTCACCTAGAGATGGGGTGTGTGGGGGCAGGCTTTCACGTTTTATCGTTGGTACTTCTCAAGTATTTGAATTTTTATCCTAAACACCCATTAACTGGCCAGGTACAGTGGCTCATGCCTGTAATCCCAACACTTGAGGAGGCAGGGGCAGGAGGATCGCTTGAGGCCAAGAGTTCGAGACCAGCCTGGGAAACATGGCAAGACTCCTACTCTACCAAACAAACAAACAAACAAACAAACAAAAAATTAGCTGGGTCTGGTGGCACATGCCTATAGTTCTGGCTACTTGGAGGCTGAGGCAGGAGGATTGCTTGAGCCCAGGAGGTCAAGGCTATCATCGTGGCACTGCACTCCAGACTGGGCAACACTGTGAGACACTCTCTCTGTCTCTCTCTCTATATATATATACATAATATATATAATAAGTTATATATAAAATTTACAAATTACCAGATTTATAAATTACCATAATTTATAAATGATAGAAAGAAACCGATTCCTTATAGTGAAAACTAGCAAATAAAAGGAGAATCAAGCATTTACCTTACCTGTCCTATATGAACTCTTCCACTGACTAGCCAAATAATAGAAAAATTTTTCTTTTTTTTAGGCAGGGTCTCACTGTCACCCAGGCTGGAGTGCAGTGATGCAATCACAGCTCACTGTAGCCTTGACTTCCTTGGGCTCTTGTGATACTCTCACCTCAGCCTCCTGAGTAGCTGGGACTACAGGTGCATATGTAAATTATAATATATAAATATATATAATTATATATGAAATAAAATTATGTAGAATACATATCTATATTATATATACATTATGTGATGTATATATATACACTATATACACGCACACATACACATAAATAATAGTAAACACCTATTAACTAGGAAAGTTTTAAAATGAAAGATGGCATCACTAAAAGTTGGACAACCAGATAAGAGCCTTAGGTAGTCATGGGGCCTAAAGTGGACCTGGTACCACCTGTGGGTGGGTCTTTCCCCCAGAGGCTGTACTGACTCAGTCAGGCCTCTGCTCCCCTGACCAGCTCACAGGAAATGCGCAGCCAGGGGAGCAGCCAGGTGATACTGCCTGGAAGCCGCTCGCCACACTCAGAACGTGGGATCTCAAATCAGGAGCATGGAGGATGAAGAAGGCACAGGGGTACAGCTGTAGATTTTAAAACCTCAGAGCCACATCTGTTACACGCAGGGTATGGGCTCCCCTGGATTCTGATTGAGACAAGCTAGCTATAAAGACACACCCCTAGGCTGGGCATGGTGTCTTATGCCTGTAATCCCAGCACTTTGGGAGGCCGAGACGGGCAGATCACGAGGTCAGGAGATCGACACTAGCCTTGCTCACATGGTGAAATCCTGTCTCTACTTAAAAATGCAAAATTAAAATTAGCTGGGCGTGGTGGTATGCACCTGTAATCCCAGCTACTCAGGAGGCTGAGGCAGGAGAATCGCTTGAACCCGAGAGGCAGAGGTTGCTGTGAGCCGAGATCGTGCCATTGCACTCCAGCCTGGGCAACAGAGTGAGACTTTGTCTCAAAAAAAAAGAAGGGACACCACTGAGACGTCAGCCTAATCTGTATACAGATTTCAAATGTGGTCTAGGTGTTCAGTGACTAAGGAGTTACTGCTCATACTGAAGTATTCACAGGTGAAATCAGATGACCCCTGGTGATGGGTTCATGGTTGTTAATTATATACATCTCTCTACTTGTATGTATGTTTGAAAATTTACAAAATAAAATCTTGAATGAACACTAAAAAAAGCAAAAGTGTGAATAGATTTTTAGGACCAGACAGACCTGGATTCAGTCTCACCTGTGTTAACCTTGGTTGACATTCTGTCCCCTGGCCAAGACTCCTTTTCTTTGCCTACAAAATACAGGGGTTTCCAATCTCTTACGTCTCAAGTCTTGTGAGGCTGAGGATGGGATGGTTTTTGCCAAAGGCCTGGCAGATTGAGGGCTGGGGGTGCCCTGAGTGAGCTGTTGGGCTCCTCCCTGACCCCAGCCTCTGAGTGACCAATAGTGTATTGTGTTTCAGGAATTTGTGATCCTCAAGGACGTCGGCATGGACTTCACCTTGGAAGATTGGGAGCATCTCGGGCTGGAGCAGGGGGACATGTTCTGGGACACAGCGTTGGACAACTGCCAGGACCTCTTCCTGCTGGGTGAGTGTTCCCTGTCCCCAGGGGCCTACTCACTGTCCTGCTTGGTGATCACCTGTGCTCTCCCCCAGCCACAGGGTGAAATCCTGGGCTCTGAATCCACATGACATAGCCCAGCAGTTCTCAGCTGGCCAAGGAGACATTGGCAATGTGTGGAGACATTTTTGATTGTTACTTCTTGGGCCAGCAGCGTGCTGCTAACATCCAGCCGGTGGAACCCGGGGAGGCTGCCACGCATCCTGCAGTGCACAGGAGACCCCCACAACCAAGGACTGGCCTACGCCAGTGTTAGTAGTGCTAAGCCTGGGAAACCCTGCTCTGGCCCCATCTGCCTCCCCAGCCTCGTCTTCACCACTTTCCTGCTTGTAGTCAGTCATTCTTCAAGCTGAGACTTCAGGGTCTTCCAGTTGCCCTCCCCTCTGCCTAAGTGGCTCTCAGGGCTTACCTTCTTCAATCTGACCTGGGACCCTGTGAGAACTCTGTATCTCCTCTCCTGCTCATCTTGGCCGTCACTCCATCACATTCTAACTACCATTTTATCATCAGAGCGGGAGCCGTGTGAGGACAGGGGCGTGTCCCCAGTGTTTGGAATAAGCAGTTCCTGCTCCAGGGCCCAGCGGACAGCTCTAAATTAATGAACAATTGAGTAGCAGCTCTTCGGACTTGCTCGTTCAATCCTCCAGTAACCCCACGAGGAAGCTGGGTTGTCCCTCTTGTGCCGAATGGTCTGAAACTGAGGTTGAAAGAGAGGCAGTCACCTTCCCAGCTATGCCAGTGTCCCCAGGACACCCACAGCTCCAGTGATTGACTAGGATTCCCAGGACTCAGCCTGTGGTCAGACTCATGGCTAAGACTGACTACAGTGAAAAGAGTCAGAGCAGTCAGCAAAGGGAGGAGGTACATGGGGCAAAGTCCAAGGGAGCCAGGCACAAACTTCCAGAATTTTCTCTCACGGGAGTCACATGGGACATGCTTAATTCCCCCAGCAATATTGTAGAATGTGATATCTCGTGTGAAATGCTGTCCATCAGGGAAGCTCATCAGAGACTCAGGGCCAGGGTTTTTACTGGGGTCTGGTCACGTGGTCCCCTTTGCCTGGAACATACCAAAATTGCAGACTCCCAGGAGGAAAGCAGGTGTCAGCCACAGTGTTTGCACAGTTTAGGTCCAGGGAGCGTGTCTCTTCCGTTCTGGAGACATGGGGTACCCCTCTGAAATCCAGCCTTGCCAGCAGGCCTTTCCCAGGAGAGCAGCCAGCCTGCTGTGTCGCCCTCTTCTGCACACCAGTGTCACACAGTGAGAGCAGCAGGGCCCAGACTCCAGCTAAGGTCTGTGCAGCCCCAAGGCCACATCACCCCAGCTGCCCATCAGTGTCACCTCATTAGCTCATTTTGCCTCTCTGTTGCCTCAGTTCTTTCTTTTTGAAGAACCAGGAAAATAATTTACTTCAAAAGATGAAAGCAGTAAAAGGTAACACACTGTGGAAACTGTCATTTGATAGAATCTCATCACATTGGGGCAGACTTTCTCTAGACTGACCAGTGTGTGCTAAGAAGCATCTAATGGGAGGTCCTACCTCAGTGTCGTTTTGAATTTTTAAACTACAGCCCACAGTAAGAAGTGTGTTTACCTCGACTGCCCCTTCACCCATTTGCGTGTATGTATGAGTAGTGTATCCGTTTCCTATTGCTGCTGTTACACATAGCACAAACGCAGTGGCTTCCACCAGCATGCTTGTATTATGTTACAGTCCTGGAGGCCAGGAGTTCCAAATGCATGTGGCTGGGCTGGAGGCGAGGTGTTGGCAGGGCCATGTTCCTTCTGGAGGCTCCAGCACATACAGTCCTCTCCTGGCCTGTTGCCAGCTTCTGGAGGTCACCTGTATTGCTTGACTCATGGCCTCTCAGTCTTCAAAGCCAGCAGTGGCGTTTTCTCCGCCGTAGCCTGTATCCCTCCTGGATGGTGACTCTGGTCCCTTACTTGGGGAAGCTTGTGGAGGGTAGGGCTCAGGACTGCTTGGACCCTGGGACCCTGACATCTTCTGTCCTTGGCCCATGGAGGCCTCAGGCGTTGTGTGGCCCATGGGTCAGTGAGTGAATCATGAATGGCTAAGGAAGTGCGTGCCTCTCCACCTGGCAGATTCTGCCCATTAAAGAGCTGTCACAAGTCCTTTGTGTCCCCAGCCCCAGCTGTCACAGCTTTGATCACCCTGGATTGTGATTGTTTGGCTCCCTCTCTGTCACTGGACTGGGAACCCTACAGGACAGGCATCCCCAGAGGCGCCCAGGCAGCACCTGGCCCACAGGAGCCATGTGCAGGATAAAGCATAGAAAAGTCAGGAGAGCCAGGAGGTGCTCACTGAGTGTCTGGATGACCCTCCACGTCCCAGTTAGATGACAATGCTGTTCTCTCCCCGCAGACCCCCCAAGACCCAACCTGACCTCCCACCCAGATGGCGGTGAAGATCTGGAGCCTCTGCCAGGAGGAAGCCCAGAAGCAACGGGCCCTGGTGAGTGGATGGAGAGGGGCCCCCTGTGTACCTTCTGTCCTCCAGACCTCCATCCTGGGCTGCCGCCAGCTCTCCCACAGGTCTACCCAGACATTACAATGCTCAGCTTCAGGACTTCACTCGCCACTCGCTGGCTTCCACCCCCTCATCCTGGGAGCTGGGGGCGATACGGACATTTTTATAGACCCTCACTCTGGTGTCTCTCCACCTTGCCCTTCAGCACAGGGCTATCCTGGTGCCTCTCCGCAGCTCCTCTTCTTCCTTCCAGACTCAACAAGGAGACGCCCTCCACTCTCTGAGTTGGTCTCTACTTTCCTGCCTTGTGCTCCCTGGGTGTGTTGACCCTCATTCTACTTCTTTTACCTCCTTTCCTTCAGGTCCATTTTTCCTTCCTATCCCTGGGGCACAGCAAATGGCCACATTAGGGAGTAACTTAAGCCTAGGCCTGAATGGTGCCGAGAGCATCTGCCCTGCCATCTCCCAAGCCAGGGTTCCTCCAGGTGGATCAGGTTAGGTGGTGAGGACTCCTGGGGTGTTACCCATGGTAGAGACATCCCCAGTAGGAGAAAGCAGAGGCAGCTGCCTTGCCTGGCATGGGAGGCTTCTCTCCTTGTTTCTTTATCTGCATGAGAAGCAGGGCCCTGAGCCAGAGACCACAGGAGTCTCAGGCTGTACCCAACCCAGTCAGTCTGTAGCTCCCTTCTTGGCTCACCACACTCAAGCTCGTGTACATGAGGCCTCTGCAGCCTCCTCTTCAGCACATCAGTGTCCCTCGTAGATGACTAACCCATGTACAGGCTCTCACAACCTCTGCTTTCTGTTTCTGTGACCTCAGCATAGTGGCTGTTTCCAAACATGGGTAGCCATGCCTTTACTAACAAATATACCTCCATAGCCTCTAGTAGTGACACTCGAGTTGCACAGTTACCACGTAAATGTCTTTCGCCTTTAACGGTGTGCCTCTCTTGGAAGCAGGGCTTAGCTGATTCACCCTGTATTCCCAGCTCCTGACATCATGCTTGGCACATAAGGGGTGCCTATTACATGTCTGTCGGTGCATTTGAGGCAGAGGGAACAACATGAGCACCGGTGTGGTGAGGAGAGTGAGCTGGGTATCTGTGGGAGAGATGAGCAGAGGCAGAGGTGATAATTCAGAACAAGGTGTGATTTCAGAAGGCTTTCATTTGCAAGTTTTAATTCCAGGTGGAGAGACTTTAAGCAGTCTCATAGATACTCAGATGGTGAGCCAAGAACTGCAGAAGGGACAGGCTGGAAAAGGTATGATGATGGAGGAGAGGAGAGATGGGGAGACTGGAGGCATACAGCAGAGCAGTGACATTCATGTTTTGTGAAGGATCCCAGAGAGCATACAGCTTGGTAGTTAAGAATATGGGGGCCAGGCATGGTAGCTCATACCTGTAATCTCAGCACTTTGGGAGGGCAAGGCAGACAGATCACTTGAGGTCAGGAGTTCGAGACCAGACTGACCAACATGCCGAAACTTCGTCTCTACTAAAAATACAAAAATTAGCTGGGTGTGGTAGTAGGCGCCTGCAGTCCCAGCTACTCAGGAGGCTGAGGCAGGAGAATCACTTGAACCCGGGAGGCAGAGGTTGCATTGAGCTGAGATCGTGCAGCACTTCAGCCTGGGCAACAGAGCAAGACTCAATCTCCAAAAAAAAAATATATATATATATATATGGGGTCAGAGGGGTTCAAATCCTCATTCTGCTGCTCACTTAGCTTTAAGAAGCAGAAACGTGCCTACCTTATGGGAGGTTGTCGAGTGTAAGAGAGTGCCTGAGGCACTCCTGCCTGTGAGTAAGCATGCCATGAATGGGATTTACTGTCTGTGAATCTGTCCCGTGGCTGCCGCTGTGGCAGTGGATGGATGAGCAGTGGAAGGTGCCCGTTAAAGAGCTTACCTTCTGGTAAGGGTCAGGGGTGAGACCCTTTCATAACCTGTCAAGGTGGAGGATGGTAAGTGCTCAGCTGTTTTTCAGAGAATATAGGGCAGGGGACTTAAAGCAGAATGGGGATGGGGTCGTCAGGGAAGCCTTTCAGAGGAGGGTGATACTCAAGCTGGGTATTAAAAGACTTAGAGGAGTTAGCCCAGGAAGTGCCATCCAGCATGAGGGACCATTAAAAGCACAGAGGAGAAAGTCTGGTAGATTTAGGGAACCGCAAGAGTTCTATGAGGTCAGCACAAAGAGCGCTGGGCTGATACACTCATTTCTCTTCTCCAGGCAGGAGGCCCTGGAAGGGTTTAATCAGAGGAGTGATATAGTCAGATCCATTTATTACAAAACCCTTTAGGGCTAGCGTGGAAGACTGGAGAGAGAGACAGGAGACCAATGAGCAGCCTGGTGTCAGATGGAGTCAGTGATAAAGAGAGGAGAGGAAGGGAGTTGAGACATTTCGATAGAGACCAAATGAAAATAGTGCCAAGTTGAGGGAGAGGTAGGGAGGAGGTTGACTCCTAGGATTCTAGCATGGAGAACTGGATGGATGGTGGAGTGAGGGGAGTGGGGTGTTGTCTGGTATAGAGGATGCAGGATATGAGGAGGAAGATTTTGGTGACAGTGCAGGATAGAGTGGAGAGTAGAAGGAGGTGAGTCCAGGCGACTTTTTAGGGAACTTGGTCAGTCACCTAGGTGTGAAGGTAATGGTCGAATCTCCCTCCTTGTTGAACCCCTGTGGTTTCCCAGCTCCCCTGTTGACCCTCCTGGGAATGGGCTCTCTGTTTTATGTGATGCCAGTTCCACATGGGTCACCCCTTTGGGTCCCTTAATGGATAAGCTGGACTCAAGATCCATCACCCCTACTTGCTCTTGTCTGTGTTCTCACCCTTGGTGAACAGGAGACATTTGCACTTACTCTTTCAGATGCGACTGAGACCAAGAACTCTCCTCTGATGGAGGATTTCTTGGAAGAAGGATTCTCCCAGGAGATTATAGAGATGTTATCCAAGGATGGCTTCTGGAACTCCAATTTCGGAGACGCCTGTGTAGAGGACACCTGGTTAGACAGTTTGCTAGGCGATCCAGAAAGTCTTCTGAGGTCTGATGTTGCCACCAATGGGGAAGGTCCCACGGAATGCAAGAGTTATGAATTAAAGAGAGGCCTCAGTCCTGTGTCCACCCTTTCCACGGGAGAAGATTCCATGATACATAATGTTTCTGAAAAGACCCTCACACCAGCTGAGTCTAAGGAATATAGGGGTGAGTTTGACTCCTACTCGGACCACAGCCAGCAGGATTCTGTTCAGGAAGGGGAGAAACCATATAAATGTAGTGAATGTGGGAAAAGCTTCAGTGGGAGTTACCATCTTACCCAGCACTGGATTACTCATACTGGGGAGAAACCCACTGTCCATCAAGAGTGTGAGCAAGGTTTTGACCAGAATGCTTCCTTTTCTGTGTATCCGAAAACTCACACGGGCTACAAATTCTATGTGTGTAATGAATATGGGACAACTTTTAGTCAGAGTACAAACCTGCGGCATCAGAAAACTCACACTGGAGAAAAACCATGTAAGAGTCAATACGGTGACCACCCACCCAGTCATGACACACAGCCTGGTGAGCATCAGAAAACTCGCACAGATAGTAAGTTCTACAACTGTAATGAGTGCGGCAAGGCTTTCACCCGGATCTTTCATCTTATTCGGCACCAGAAGACCCACACTCAGAAACGCCATGAATGTTCCAAGTGCCAGGCGACCTTCAGCTTGAGAAAACACCTCATCCAACATCAGAAAAGTCACACTGCAAAAACGACCTCTGAGCGTCGGGAGTGCGGGAAGACCTTTCGGCAGAGTTCGCTGCTCATTGAACACCAGGCTCTTCATACTGGAGAGAAGCCTTATGAGTGTAACGAATGTGGGAAATCCTTCAGCCATAACTCTACCCTAAAGATCCATCAGAGGGTTCACAGTGGAGAGAAGCCTTACAAATGCAGTGAGTGTGGGAAGGCCTTCCGCCGGCACACTCACCTTAATGAGCATCGGCGAATTCATACAGGCTACAGACCCCACAAATGTCAGGCGTGCATCAAGAGTTTCAGCCGGCCCTCACATCTGATGCGACATCAGGCCATTCACACTGCAGAAAAGCCCTATCGCTGTGCTGAATGCAAGGCGGCTTTCAGCGATAACAGTCACCTTGTGCAACACCAGAAGATGCACACTGTCAAAACCCCGTATGAATGCCAGGAGTGCGGAGAACGCTTCATCTGCAGCTCAACCCTGAAGTGCCACCAGAGTGTTCACACAAGAGAAAAACAAGGTTTTGTTGTGAGTGGGAAGATCTTGGATCAGAACCCAGAACAGAAAGAGAAGTGCTTTACATGTAACAAATGTGAGAAAACCTTTAGCTGCAGCAAATACCTAACTCAGCATGAGAGGATTCACACCAGCGGGGTGAAGCCCTTTGAGTGTGACCAGTGTGGGAGAGCCTTTGGCCAAAGTACTCAGCTCATTCACCATCAAAGAATCCACTCTAGAGTGAGGCTGTATAAATGGGGTGAGCAAGGGAAAGCCATCAGCAGTGCCTCCCTTCTCAAACTTCAGTCCTCCCACACAAAGGAGCACCCTTTTAAATGTAACGAATGCGGAAAGACCTTCAGCCAAGGTGCACACCTCTCAAAACATCAGTTAATTCATGCTGGAGGGAATCCCTTTAAATGTAGTAAGTGTGACAGAGTCTTCACCCAGCGAAACTACCTTGTTCAGCATGAGCGAACTCATGCCAGAAAGAAGCCCTTGGTGTGTAATGAATGCGGGAAAACGTTCCGTCAGAGCTCGTGCCTTTCTAAGCATCAGAGAATTCACTCAGGTGAGAAGCCCTATGTATGTGACTACTGCGGGAAGGCCTTCGGCCTGAGTGCGGAGCTTGTCCGCCACCAGAGAATTCACACTGGAGAAAAGCCTTATGTCTGTCAGGAGTGCGGGAAAGCCTTCACCCAGAGCTCATGCCTTTCTGTTCACCGGAGAGTTCACACTGGGGAGAAGCCCTACATATGTGGTGAATGTGGGAAAGCCTTTGCCCAGAAAGCAAATCTAACACAGCACCAGAGAATTCACACTGGTGAGAAGCCTTACTCCTGTAACGTGTGTGGCAAAGCTTTTGGCCTCAGTGCCCATCTCAACCAGCACCTGAGAGTTCACACCCAGGAGACACTTTATCAGTGTCAACGTTGCCAGAAAGCCTTTCGGTGCCACTCAAGCCTCACCCGCCATCAGCGTGTACACAACAAGCAGCAATACTGCCTGTAGCCATTGGGTGGCAGCAGAGTCCCAGAATATGAGACTCTTCATCCGACGTGGAAAGTTGGAAACCATCCATCCTATTGCAAGTTTCTCTCCAAATAAATACATCTAAAGATTGATTAGAAAGTTTGTGCACATGTGTTTCATTACAACAGTGAAAACACAAAAATGGAGAAGCTGTACAACGTCAGGATACAGAGGTAGGCTCTGGAGCCAGTCTACCTGAGTTAAGTTCCACCTCTGCCGTCTACTACCTAAGTGACCTTGGGAAAGTCAGAAAAATCTCTCAGGGCCTCGGTGTCCTCATCTGTAAAATGGGCATCACCTACCTCAGAGGGCTTTTCTGAGGATTAAATACATAAATGTGAAGCACTTAGAACTGATGGCCAGCACATGAGGGCTCACCAAGTGTAAGCCACAAATACACATCAGCCATAGCACAAATATACTCATGTTATAAGAAAAGAATTAGTAATCTCTCTGTGTTTACTGTAGTTAATGTTCTTATAATGTATCGCTTTTAATTTAAGTTTTCCTTTCTTAAAGTTTTTCTCCAGCACCTTAATCTTAAATGCCTGGCCTTTTTTGTCCCTTTATCTCTCTTTCCTGGTTTTTTTTTTTTCTTAACCCCCAGAAAGCCAAAAAGAACATGTTAACTCCTAACCTCAACTAGCTACAACCTTCCACTCCTAACCTCCCAAGCCTCTCACTCAGAGAGGACTCCCTATCCCACAAACACATGCTTCCTCTTCCCATGACCTTCCTCCGTTTAACAGTGTTGGCTATGCAGTAAGACACCCAATTTGTCATGGGAGTTGACACCAAAACACAGCTGGATTCCTTCAGGAAAGCTGTATTGATCAAGGTGTTAACCGCATATGAAACAACCCATATGGAAGACATGCTTGGGGGTCAAACCTGTGGTGCGTGGAAGTGACCGCTGGGATGTCATCATTCACTATTAATCCAAGACAGCCGCTCACCAGGCAATTTGCTAGGCTCGGGGGCGGGTGGTATGAATACACTATGCACTGCTGCTACTCTGAAGCTTCTGGAATCAGAGAAATGAATGAACCCATTTTCATAGACGATTACTGTTAGTTGACAAGTGACATCTTAAAAATGCCCCATTCCCTCATGTCACAGGAAGTTCTGGGATCACCAAGGATTGTTGGAGAGTCCAGTGAGGTGGACCCACACAACCAGTTCCCTCCTGACAGTGTCTTGTCAGCTCTAGGCGTTTGTGCCCCACCACTAAGTGGCTCAGTCACACATTTGCTGAAACACAGTAGTCTTATGAAAAGCACTGGACACATACTTTCAATGCCTTTCAGATTTTAGGTGCTTCAAATGGTTGGGGGTAAGTGCTCTGTACCCTTGGGCTCTTCAAGTCTTGCACCTGGAGTTCTGCTGGTTAAGTTTGTTAAACTTAGTTGAAACTGGGAACCTGTTGGCTAACCATTGGGCCCTTATGCTGTTTTTCAAATGGCTGCAGCATTTAACTTCTTGCACATGGTTCCCGTCCTCTGGAGCTCTGTCTTGTCTGGGAGATGGGCATGTTACATACCAAAAGAATGGACAGAGTGTTGGAGGGCTGGAACACAATGAGGACTCTGGAAAACTGGCAGCCATTGGGGGTGGGGGACAGTCTATAAATCAGTCACCTGTGTTGCTGCAGGCCAGGGTAGAAACGCCCTCCATGTGTGCATATTTGTTGTTCTCTGATTAAAGTTTTGAATCGAAAAGCATTGATTCCTTCTCTCAGCCTGCTGCCATGCAGCACGCATCAGCCCCTGCCTGCCAGGCCTCACGTCTTTGTGGGGGAGGGCATCTGATGGTGATCATTGCCCAGTAAGAAACAGCTCCGTCTGTTTTCCCGCTGTCTGGACGGGGCATGCGCCACTGAGGAGGCACACAAGTTCACCTGGTCCTCAGATGCATCATCAAACAACACTTTTCAGTCTTTGTGTGAGCCTAAGTCATCAAGGAGAGAGCACAGGCAGCCTGCAGTTCACTCTTCACAGACACGTCAGGCCCCAGGCTTGGGGAGTGTTTCTAATTAGCATCCAATAATACACATCACTTTGCTCAGTACTTTAATTTTTGTCCCCGCCTTTTTCCTTTTAGTGACAAGTGACAAGAGATACTAGTTTCCTGCTCATGGTAGTAATAGAAAGTTGTTATTTTTTTTTGATAAAGTGAGCTGATCGGGCCGAGTGTGGTGGCTCATGCCTGTAATCCCAGCACTTTGGGAGGCCTAGGTGGGAAGATGACTTGAGCCCAGGAGTTCGAGACCAGCCTGAACATGATGAAACCCTGTCTCTACAAGAGAAATATGCAAATTAGCTGGGTGGTGACCACTGATCACTAAAAATGATTAAAATGGCAAATTGTATATTTTTACCGCAATTTAAAAACACTTACATAAAGTACTACATTTTTAAAGTTTGTGTGGTAGGCTGGGAGTGGTGGCTCATGCCTGTAATCCCAGCACTCTGGGAGGCTGAGATGGGTGGATTGCTTGAGCTCAGGAGTTTGAGACCAGCCTGGGCAGCATGGTGAAACCCTGTGTCTACAAAAAATACAGCTGGGTGTGGTGGCACACGCCTGCACTCAAGCTACTAGGGAGACTGAAGTGGGAGAATCGCAAGCCTGGGAGGTTGAGGCTGCAGGAAGCTGTGATCACGCCACTGCACTCCAGCTTGGGCGGCAGAACAAGACCCTGTCTCCGAATAAAGGAAAAAAATGTGACTGGAAAAAGAAATGAGCTACACGAGCCTAAACCAAGCAAGGCTAAGATGGCAAAACCTAGCACCTCTGAGGCTGATGCGAAGACAAGCTCAAACGAGGTCAAGGTATAAAGCAGCAGCAGAGTCTTCTAGGGCCAAGGTCTCCCCCAACATTTCAGAGGTGCAACTGATACCCCAGCTAAATTCCAGCTTGACCTCTGGAAGGGCTGGAGACTAAGGTCAGTCAGGGTGATCAGCCTTGTCAACATAACCAACCTTATAACCCTAGGTACCAAGGCGTGGGTGAGCTTCTCTGGCAACACTTTGTCGTCACACGTTATTGTTGAGTGCATTAAGTGCTCTCCATATGACTCTACTGGCAGAGGACACCTGGAAGCTCACGCCTGGTCTCTCCTAGACTCCATCCTTTCCCATGCATCTTTTCCCATGGCTGATTTTAATCTCTATATTTAGCTGTAATAAATGCAACCAAGTATAACAGCTTTGCTGATTGTGAGCCCTTCTAATGAATTACTGAACCTGAGGGTCCACTGCCCTCTCTGAGACTGTTTCTCCAGTGGACTCAAGAATGATACTCGGATTAAGGGTTCTCAAAACGAGCATCAGCGGGTTCTGCCCACGCCGGCCCCATGGGCTAAATTCTCTAATAACCACCTCCCTTCCCCGCCTACTCCAGGCAATCATTGCGCTGACTCGGCTCCTGGCCACGCCCTAACCCCGCCTCCGCTGCTTCGAAACCCGTCCCGAGCCCTGCAGCCCCATAGGCTGCCGCCACATTCTCGAGCCCTTTTACCTCGGTGGCCTAAATCCTTGACTGCTCGGAGCCACTCTTCAGGCCAAAATGGGCCCAAAATGGGGAGGGTAAGCGATGAATGTCACTAGACAGTCGGGCCCTCGAGGACCTGGCAACTGGGGGCTTGGACCTCGGGTCGGCTTCCCACGCGAAGCTTGCTCCCCACCTGCATCCGCACGTTGGTGGCGACGCTGCCCTGGCCCCCACGGATGCCTCTGCGCATGTCAGACTCCCTGATGAACTACCCTTCCCAGAATCCCGCGGGAGCTGCTTAGGGCGACGGTCCTCTGATGGCCGATGCGGGAAAAACCCTGGCGTCAGGCGGCCCTCGAGTGGGGCACACGAAGTCGTGGCTTATTCTGGCTTCAGTATGCGGGATGGAGAAGGCGATCCACGAGGCTGCCTCTGTTTCCTATGGATCAATCGCAGAAATCGTTCTGTAAGCCCCGCCCCCACTGCGTGCGGGCGGCTTTTGTCTCCATGGCAACCGTCAACTCTGGAAACGCCTGTCTTTCTCCATGGCAACTGTCTACGCTGCAGGCTGGGGCCGCCCATTACCGGAGCCTTTAAGCAGTATGGGTGCTGGACAAACAGCGTGATCGGGTCGTAAAACTTGATGGAACGAATATTAGAGCACAAGGAAGAAAAAACCGGGCTAGGTGGGACTGAAATAGTTGATGTGAGGGAAGATTTCTCAAAGGAGGCAGCCTATTTTTTTGTTGTTTGTTTTTTACTTTTAGTTTTTCAAGACGGAGTCTCTGTTGCCCAAGCTGGAGCACAGTGGCACGATCTCGGCTCACTGCAACCTCCGCCTTCCGGATTCAAGCGATTCTCCTGCTTCAGCCTCCCGAGTGGCAGGGATTACAGGCGCCCACCACCACGCCTGGCTAATCTTTTGTATTTTTAGTAGTGTGAGAAATGGGAAAGTTCTTCTTCAAAGATTATAAAAAGTCACAATTTCTTACTATAAGATTGCTATCCACTATTATATATTCCAAATCAGCTGTCCTAGCTTGCTCTGGCATGCCTGGACAGAACTAGACAAGCCCCAGCCCATAGTGCATAGTTAAGGAAGCATCCTTGACTATCCCTGGGTAACTTCCTTTTCTTTCTTTGTTCTGTTCCCCTTACCCAATTAAAAAAGTTTTAAACTAATAGCCAAACGGGTAAAGTGTAAAATGTGAGGTCTCATTCCAGCCAATGGAAACTGGACACAACAGTAGGGTGGATGCCTTAGGTTATAAATAACTCTGTCTCCTTTCTTCGGTGGGGTCTCATGGCTGGACAGCTATTGAGTAGCACCCTTTCTGCAAAAAGTAAAGCTTGCCTTGCTGAGACATCATTTGTTCCCGCATTCTTTCTTTCTTTCTTTTTTTGCGACACCAAAAACTTCATTCCCAACAGCAGAGACAGGTTTCCACCATGTTGCCCAGGCTGGTCGCCAACTCCTGACCTCAGGTGATCCACCCGCCTCGGCCTCCTTAAGTGCTGGGATTACAGGCGTGAGCCACCACTCTTGGCCCAGGAGGTGACCTTTGAATAAGGCTTTGAGGGATGACCAGGAGGTTGCCTGGAAGAGAAGGGAAAATATATCTAGAGATCTGGCCAAAATTAAAAGTCTTAATGAGGGTGTGGGGAAACCGCCACTCTCCTACCCTGCTGGTAGGGAGAGGAATGTCTTCAGCCTTTGAGGAAGTAAATCAGTCAGTCAGCGGGTGACTGCTGAGAACCTACTATATACTGGGAAGTGTTCCAGACACTAGGGATACAGCGGGGAAAGGTATACAGGGAGGCAGGCAGTAACCACGAGACATATGATTGGAAATTGTAAGTGCTGTGAAGTAGGCCAGGTGTGATGGCTCACACCTGCAATCCCAGCACTTTGGGAGGCCGAGGTGGGTGGATCACTTGAGGCCAGGAGTTCGAGACTAGCCTGTCCAACATAGTGAAACCCCACCTCTAAAAATACAAAAATTAGCCAGGCGTGGTGGCCGGCGCCTGTAATCCCAGTTACTCAGGAGGCTGAGGCAGGGGAATCACTGGAACGTGGGAGGCAGAGGTTGTAACCGAGCCGAGGTCACACCACTGCACTCCAGCCTGGGTCACAGAATGAGACTCCATCTCAAAAAAAAAAAAAAAAGTGCTATGAAGTAAACAGGCAGGGGCTGAGATGGGAATGCAGGAGGGACTGTGGGATCAAGAAACAGAATTCTTTGAGAACATGGTGTGAAATAACATAAATAATATCAACCTCAAGAGAAATGTAGAGGAATACTATGAATTGCAGCTGGAATCTGCCCTAAATGTGTATTTCTTCTTCCTGGTGTCTGTGACACTTTGAGTTGGGGTTTTCTTTTAGTTTCTTGAGTGTCTTGCTTTTGATGCTTTTAGCTACTCAAGCCAGTAAATTATCGTTCTTGTTTGAGCTGTGTGAGAGGTGGTCAAGTTCAACATTTGAAGGAAGAGTTGAGAGATTCACTGAATGGGAGAGAGGGATAAGAAAAACATACCTTCTTTCTGTTTAGGTTTCTAAGGTGATAGGAGGTAAGCCTGGAGCTGCTGGTGGCCACCTTGCCACCATGGGGGGAGAACTTGCCAGAAAATGAACCTAACCAAAAAGGAAGCTAAACTAAGAGGAGTGACCAGATTACTGACATGTCACTTAAGCACCTGGATCTATCTGTTCCTGAAGGCAAAACTGTTCAATTACATAGGCTAATAAATTCCCTTTCTTTCTTAAGCAAGCAGAATACTCTTGGCTGGAAATGAATCTCTACCAGAAATTATTTAAAAATCCAGATGGATTGATGGCTGGGCACGGTGGTTCACACCTGTAATCCCAGCACTTTGGGAGGCTGAGGCAGGTAGATCACAAGGCCAGGAGATCATGAGGTCAGGAGATCAAGACCATCCTGGCTAACATGGTGAAACCCCGTCCCTACTAAAAATACAAAAAATTAGCTGGGCGTGGTGGTGGGCGCCTGTAATCTCAGCTACTAGGGAGGCTGAGGCAGAAGAATGGCATGAACCCAGGAGGCGGAACTTGCAGTGAGCCGAGATCACGCCACTGCACTCCAGCCTGGGCGACACAGCGAGACTCCATCTCAAAAAAAAAAAAAAATCCAGATGGATCAAAGTTTTCATTGTGAAAAAAATCATAAAAGTACTAGATTAAAATATAGCAGAACTTTTTTTCATAATCTTGGGGGTGAGGAAAGCCTTTGTTAGCATGATAGATCCAAGAACTATAAAAGAAAGTACAGATAGATTTAAAAATTTAAATTTAAATCTAAAAATTAAAAACTCTGTATGACAAACGTGAACAAAATTGAAGAGAAACTGGGAGAAAATATTAGTCACTTATACACCAAAGTGTTAATCTGCGTAATATATAAGGACTTGTCATTATAAATCAATACAAAAAGGCTTCTCAATTAAAAATGGGCAAAATACATAAATAGGCAATTCACAGAATACAAAACATCAATTAATGCATAAAAAGATAATCTCACAACCAAGAGGACATTTTTACCTATCAGATTAAAATTGCTTTAAAAAATGACCAAGACCAAGTATTTGAGAAGGAAGTAAAAGAACAGAGAAATAGTCACTCATATATACTTCCAGGAGTTATGCAAATTGTTTCACCCCTTTTGGAGGACTACTTAGTAATAACCATGAAAAATTTAAATGTAAGTGTTCTGTGATCCCACAAGTACACTTGTAGGAATTCGTTTTGTACATAAGTCAAATAATAAATATCCAATGATGGAAAAGAAAATGAAAACAACTTAAATATCCATCAATAGGGATTGCTTAAACAAATTAAAGAAACCCTAGCATGAAATATTACGCAGCCGTGAAAAATGAAGATACCTATGTATGTATATATTTTTGTGTAATATGTACAACATGTATATATTTTGCATTATCATGGGAAAGTATCCACATTATATCAAGTGAGAAAAGCAACTTCTTAAAATTATGTTTGCATGTAGTTATGCCATATATACCATACATATGTGAATATACATACATATAAAATCAGTTTCATAAAAACAGAAAGGGAGATTTCATATTTATAGAAAAAGTAGGAGGTCTTTGGAATGAAGGGTTTTTTTTTTTGAAACAGATTTTGCTCGTTGCCCAGGCTAGAGTGCAATGGCACAATCTCAGCTCACTGCAACCCCTGTCTCCCGGGTTCAAGCAATTCTCCTACCTCAGCCTCCCAAGTAGCTTAGATTACAGGCACGCACCACCACACCCAGCTAATTTTTTATTTTTGGTTTTAGTAGAGACAGAGTTTCACCATGTTAATCAGGATGGTCTCAATCTCCTGACCTCAGGTGATCCACATGCCTCGGCCTCCCAAAGTGCTGGGATGACAGGCGTGAGCCACCACACTCGGCCTGGAACAAAGATTTACGGGGCACTAAAGATTTCTTCATTTTTGTATCATCTGAATTATTCACAATGAATATTACTTCAATCATTAAAGAAGCCACAGAAGATTAGGAGAAATACCTGGGCAATGACTTTAAAATACAATAATAGCATAGAAGACGGCTAGTGAGACACAGCCCCATATATTCACAGACGTTCCAGCTGATACAGAACTTCTGGCAACCCATTGGCAACATACTCGAGGTCACAGAAATCCTCTCCCTATGGCCCCATGACCTCACTGCCAGGATTTCACCTGGGAAATGGTTAGGCACTCATCCCTGTCATAAAAGGGATGTTCCATAGCATACATATATAAGTCAAAAGCGGCCAGGCGTGGTGGCTCACGCCTGTAATCCCAGCATTTTGGGAGGCCGAGGCGGGCAGATCACGAGGTCAGCAGATCGAGACCATCCCGGTTAACACGGTGAAACCCTGTCTCTACTAAAAATACAAAAAAAAAAAAAAAAAAATTAGCCGGGCGTGGTGGCAGGTGCCTATAGTCCCAGTTACTCAGGAGGCTGGGGTGGGAGAATGGCGTGAACCCGGGAGGTGCAGGTTGCAGTGAGCTGAGATCACACCACTGCACTCCAGCCTGGGCAACAGAGCGACACTCCTTCTCTAAATAAATAAATAAATAAATAAATAAATAAATAAATAAATAGTCAAAAGCTAGAAACAACAGTGAAACTCCTTCTCTAAATAAATAAAATAAATAAATAGTCAAAAGCTAGAAATAACAGCCTGGGCAACAGAGCGAAACTCCTTCTCTAAATAAATAAATACATAAATAGTCAAAAGCTAGAAACAACTAGAATGTCCAACAAGGGACTGGATAATATGTTGACTGAATATGCATAACCTACGTGAAACGGCAAGACATCAGGTCATTAAAGGTGACTTAATGATATGTTAAATAGCTGACACTCATTGCTATAAAAACGTATTGCATCCATGGTCCGCATGCCCAGCCGTGGCACGTAGGTCAAGTTCAGCCCTTTGGACGACAATATGGCAACATGTGTGAGGAAATCAGGAAAATGGCTGGAGCATTGGTTCCCATCATTGCCATTGTGGGAATTTTACTTTGAGGAATAATCACCCCAAAGGGAGAGAGGAGGTGAGCATGGACATGTTCATTATAATATTATTTGTAATTGGGATAACTGGTGAATAACCCGTCAGTCAAAAGCTTAAAGAAGAATCTAGGGCCGGGCGCGGTGGCTCAAGCCTGTAATCCCAGCACTTTGGGAGGCCGAGACGGGCGGATCACGAGGTCAGGAGATCAAGACCATCCTGGCTAACCCGGTGAAACCCCGTCTCTACTAAAAAATACAAAAATCTAGCCGGGCGAGGTG